TACCTACTAAAAGAAAACCCTGGGACTGAGCCCTTTCCGGGAAAAACACGTTGTATTTGCCACATTTCTGGAAATTTGCTAGCACCCCTCACGCCTCACGCAGGTCTGCGGGGTCAGGGTCCAAAAACAAAATTGGATTTGACACATTCCTGACATCCAGTGGCACCCCTCACGCAGATCGGCGGCGTCAGGGTGCAAAAACACAGGATTTGCAACATGTCTGACATTCGGTGCCACCCCTCACGCAGATCGGCGGGGTCTGGGTGCAAGAACACAAGGGATTTGCAACATGTCTGACATTCGGTGCCACGGCGGGGTCCGGGTGCAAAAACACATGGGATTTGCCACATTTCTGCCATTCGGTTGCACCCCTCACGCAGATCGGCGGGGTCAGGGTCCAAAAACACATGGGATTTGCCACATTGCTGACATTCGGTGGCACCCCTCATGCAGATCGGCAGGGACAGGGTACAAAAACACAAGAAATTTGCCACATGTCTGAAATTCGGCGGCACCCCATCACGCAAATTCGCAGGGTCAGAGTCACAAAAACATGATCGACCCACGAACCCGGAAAGGAATGTAGAACTGTAACGCATGGCAGCGTTTTCAAAGACACCTGATTAGGTGACAGGCAAGTGCAATGCTGATTGTATCGATCTTGATGTACCGTGCCGAGGGCTGTGCTGTGCTGCACCGTGCTGAATTGCGATGTGCCATGCCGCGGTTGTGCTCTATAGCGTCGTGGATCGAGTCTTCCTTTGCATCCGAGTCCTGACCGAACTGATCTGGATCTTAAGCTCGAGCTGCCTGAACACATAGTAGCTGCCCCAGAGCTTAATTCACAAGGGGACATGCCAGGAGGACGCGCCGCGGAACGTCCCAAGGGACGCGCCAGGCGACGTGCCAGGGGACGTGCCATGGGGTCGCACCGTAGGACGTGCCAAGGGGACGCGCTACGGAACGTGCCAATGGATGTGCCACGCGACGTGCCAGGGGGACTCGCCAAGGGACGCCCCACGGAACGTGCCAAGAACGTGCCAGGTTGCAATGCTGATTGTATCGATCTTGATGTACCGTGCCGAAGTCTGTGCTGTGCTGCACCGTGCTGAATTGCGATGTGCCATGCCGCGGTTGTGCTCTATAGCGTCGTGGATCGAGTCCTCCTTTGCATCCGAGTCCTGACCGAACTGATCTGGATCTTAAGCTCGAGCGAGCTGAACACACAGTAGCTGCCCCAGAGCTAATTGACAGGGGGACATACCAGGAGGACGCGCCGCGGAACGTCTCAAGGGACATTCTCAACAAATCCTCATGCTAGGCATCCGCCTGGGCAGCCTGGACACGTGCAAACAAGCATCTCGATCGAGACTTCCTCAACACCTCCTCATTCTAGATATCCGCCTGGGCGACGAGGACGCGTGAAACCAAGCGTCTCGCTCGAGACATCCTCAACAAATCCTGGCGCTTGACCTCTGCCTGGGCAACCTGGAAGCGTGAAACCAAGCGTCTCGCTCGAGACATCCTCAAGACCTGGGCACGTGAAACCAAGCATTTCACTTGAGAGATCCTCTAAATTCTGGTCCCCAGGAAAGGACCATCCATAACACAAAACAAGCGTTTCGCTCAAGACATCCTCAACAAATTCTGACAAACAAGCGTTTCGCTCGGGACATCCTCAAAAATAATTCCGCCAGCCCACCTCGACCTCAATATTTATCAGGGAATAAGTCCGCCGGCCCACCTCAAGTCAGGTCTGGGGGTTAACAACTAACATGATGGACCCACGAACCCGGAAAGGGATATAGACATGTGGAGCATGGGCACGTTTTCACGATACCCAACGGGGCAACACCTCACGAAACATCCCACGAGACACCTCACGAAACATCCCACGAGACACCTCACGAAACATTCCGCGAGACACCTCACGAAACATTCCACGAGACACCCCGCGAAACATTCCACGAGACACCCCACGAAACATTCCACGACGACAGGCAACCACTCAACCAAGGCGGTGTGGTCGTGCTGGGGAGTGGTCGTGCTGGGGTGTGGTCGTGCTGGGGGGTGGTCGTGCTGGGGTGTGGTCGTGCTGGGGGGGTGGTCGTGCTGGGGGGTGGTTGTGCTGGGGCGTGGTCGTGCTGGGGCGTGGTCGTGCTGGGGCGTGGTCGTGCTGGGGTGTGGTCGTGCTGTGGTGAGGTCGTGCTGGGGTGCGTGCTGGGGTGTCGTGCTGGGTGGTCGTGCTGGGTGGTCGTGCTGGGGTGGGTGCTCGTGCGTGCTGGGGTGTGGTCGTGCGTGCTGGGTGTGTGCTGGGGTGTGGTCGTGCTGGGGTGGTCGTGCTGGGGTGGGGTCGTGCTGGGGTGGGGTCGTGCTGGGGTGTGGTCGTGCTGGGGTGTGGTCGTGCTGGGGTGCGTGCTGGGCGTGGTCGTGCTGGGGTGGGGTCGTGCTGGGGTGGGGTCGTGCTGGGGTGTGGTCGTGCTGGGGTGGTCCGCACCCTGTGATTCATCGATCGGGTCGTGCTGGGGTGTGGTCGTGGTGGGGTGTGATCGTGGTGGGGTGTGGTCGTGTTGGGGTGTGGTCGTGCTGGGGTGTGGTCGTGCTGGGGTGTGGTCGTGCTGGGGTGTGGTCGTGCTGGGGCGTGGTCGTGCTGGGGTGTGGTCGTGCTGGGGTGTGGTCGTGCTGAGGTGTCCCGCACCCTGTGATTTATCGATCGGGATTTCAAAAACAAGCGTTTCGCCTGAGACATCCTCAAATTTTAATTCGCCGGCCTCCTTCGACCTCGATATTTATCAAGGAAAAATTTCGCCGGCCTCCTTCACGTTGGGCACCGGGGACATGTTTACATAGAAAAAGAGAACCCTGGGCCCGCGCCCTTTCCGGGAAACATGATGGACCCACGAACCCGGAAAGGGATAAAGACATGTGCAGCATGGTCACGTTTTCACGATACCCAACTGGGCGACATCTCACGAAACATCCCACGAGACACCCCGCGAAACATCCCACGAGACACCTCACGAAACATTCCACGAGACACCTCACGAAACATTCCACGAGACACCCTTTGAAACATTCCACGAGACACCCCACGAACAGGCAACCACTCAACCAGACACGCCACGAAACATTCCACGGGGGTGCGACTGGGTGTGGTCGTGCTGGGGTGTGGTCGTGCTGGGGTGTGGTCGTGCTGGGGAGTGGTCGTGCTGGGGTGTGGTCGTGCTGGGGTGTGGTCGTGCTGGGGGGTGGTCGTGCTGGGGGGTGGTCGTGCTGGGGGGTGGTCGTGCTGGGGGGGTGTCGTGGGCGTGGTCGTGCCACCCCGCGAAACATCCCCACGAGACACCTCACGAAACATTCCACGAGACACCTCACGAAACATTCCACGAGACACCCTTTGAAACATTCCACGAGACACCCCACGAACAGGCAACCACTCAACCAGACACGCCACGAAACATTCCACGGGGGTGCGACTGGGTGTGGTCGTGCTGGGGTGTGGTCGTGCTGGGGTGGTCGTGCTGGGGCGTGGTCGTGCTGGGTGGTCGTGCTGGGGGTGGTCGTGCTGGGGTGTGGTCGTGCTGGGGTGTGGTCGTGCTGGGGTGTGGTCGTGCTGGGGTGTGGTCGTGCTGGGGTGTGGTCGTGCTGGGGGGTGGTCGTGCTGGGGCGTGGTCGTGCTGTGGTGAGGTCGTGCTGGGGTGTGGTCGTGCTGGGGTGTGGTCTTGCTGGGGTAGGGTCGTGCTGGGGTCGGGTCGGGCGGGGGTGTGGTCGTGCTGGGGTATGGTCGTGCTGGGGTGGGGTCGTGCTGGGGTGGGGTCGTGCTGGGGTCTGGTCGTGCTGGGGTGTGGTCGTGCTGGGGTATGGTCGTGCTAGGGTGGGGTCGTGCATTTCGCTCGAGACATCCTGCCAAAATTCCAGGAAATCGTACAAAAACAAACAAATTAGTCGAAACATCATCGAAATTCCTTCGCGCGGGGCGCTTTTCCGCGTCGCGGTCGGCTCTGCAAAACAAGCGTTTCGCTCGAGACATCCTCGGCAAACTCTGCGGAGCAAGCGTTTCGCTCGAGACATCCTCAACACACGAAAAAGTGGCCCGCACCCTGTGATTTATCGATCGGGATTTCAAAAACAAGCGTTTCGCTCGAGACATCCTCAAATTTTAATTCGCCGGCCTCCTTCGACCTCGTTATTTATCAGGGAAAAAATTCGCCGGCCTCCCTCAAGTTGGCACCGGGGGACAGGTTTACCTACTAAAAGAGAACCCTGGGCCCACGCCCTTTCCGGGAAAAAGAACCCTGGGCCTACGCCCTTTCCGGGAACAAACAGGTCCCGACACTGCTTTACGGCGGCGCCCAGACCTAATGATTTAGCTTTTGCATCTCACATTATCCGAGACAGGGGGCCGGCGGCATGGGGCGAAGCCTTTACGGAGAAAGTGTTGCCACGCATGCTGACGGAAAACTGTAGTCACTTACGCTGATACGATCCAGCCAAGACAAAATGTACACTCGGCATCGGGATAACTTGTAACACAACATCGTAGCACGCAAAAGCCGTGTCGAGGACGAGCAGCAACGTCCGTCATCCGCTAGACGAGGCAGCGCCAGCGACGCCAGCGACCCTAGCAAACTTGAACCGAAGTAGCAGGGAGGGGAACGCGAAGGAGGAGGACATAACATAGGAGGATTAGAACCTGCAACGGCAACGTTATGTGCAAGAAAAGACAAACGAACAACTGCATAAGCATAAACTGTCGATCCGCCTTCCTGTCGCGCGGAACGCGCCGGGGGCGGCGGCGGAAGGCACCGCCGGGGGGCCCAGGCCCAATCCAAGAAATCCGAGCGGAGTTCAACAAGCTTGATGTTTATGCAGTTCTCTCCTCTTCGAACACCTGCAGCAGCAACGTAATATGCAAGAGGAAAAGAATGAGTGGGGGAGGATCGCTCTGCGGCTCCTCCAGAAATGCTGGAAAAAAAGGCGCGGGGCGGCCGCTGGGGGGCCTGCTGCTGCCTCCCTGTGCGCTGCCTGTACCAGTTCGCGCACTGAGGAGCCCGGTGCGCGGAGTACTGGCCTCGTCAAGACAAACTGGCGACGAGGGAGGACGGACAAATATTCCAGTGAGGGTCGGGATAAATCAGCCCTGTGGATTGTCGAAGACGCTGTCGTCGTCGTCGACGTCGTCGTCGTCATTCCCAAACAAATCCAACAACAAAGAAACCGAACCGAGTGAATACATCGAAAGGAAGCCTCCCTTCCCTGCCTGAAGGAGACGGGGGGTATGATGGGGGCCCGACTCATAACGCCGCTCCCACGGGGTCCCAGCGGCGGCCGGTCCCGGGATAAGTTCCGCCATCAGGGTCGGCAGCGCCGGCCGTCAGGCCTTCGCAATCGATTGGCGTAGATGCTGCTGTCTCGGGCCACTTCAACGGGGCGATTGATTAGTCAATGGTCGCGCGCTGCTCTGGGACGTGGCCCTAGGCACTACAAAGAACACGATTGTTCGGCAGACTGCTCCTTTGAATGCGTAGCAATTCGCTAGGAACTCCAACGATTCAGCGAGGCTGGAACTTTGAGAACGCGCGCCGGCTTTTGCAAAACATAGACAGGTCGCTTCACGGGCACATGCTTCGAAACAAAGCGAAGGCTCCGACTCTCTCACGCGAAAACATGATGGACCCACGAACCCGGAAAGGGATATAGACATGTGGAGCATGGACACGTTTTCATGATACCCAACTGGGCAACACCTCACGAAACATCCCACGAGACACCTCACGTAACAGCCCACGAGACACCTCACGAAACATTCCACGAGACACCTCACGAAACATTTCACGAGACACCCCGCGAAACATTCCACGAGACACCCCACGAAACATTCCACGACGACAGGCAACCCCTCAACCAAGGCGGTGTGGTCGTGCTGGGGAGTGGTCGTGCTGGGGTGTGGTCGTGCTGGGGGTGTGGTCGTGCTGGGGGTGGTCGTGCTGGGGCGTGGTCGTGCTGGGGCGTGGTCGTGCTGGGGCGTGGTCGTGCTGGGGTGTGGTCGTGCTGGGGTGTGGTCGTGCTGGGGTGTGGTCGTGCTGTGGTGTGGTCATGCTGGGGTGTGGTCGTGCTGGGGTGTGGTCTTGCTGGGGTGGGGTCGTGCT